TTTTGACTTGGAAATCAAGGAAGCCTTATTTGATATAGGTGCCTCAAAAGCCCTAAGGCTTGATAGACTTAATGCTTTATTTTTCCAAAGTCAATGGGATCACATTGGGGAGTCTGTGGTATCTATGGTGAAGCATATTGTTTACAATCCTTTGGATATTGCTTTCATTAATGGTACTCTCATTATCCTTATTCTGAAGAAGGATCACCCTGATACAATTAGAGACTTGCGTCCTATAAGTTTATGTAATGTCATTGACAAGGTGGTCACAAGGATTCTTACAAGAGAATGAAAGTGTTCCTCCCTCTTGTTATTAGTTCGAATCAATGCAATTTTATGCCTGGTGGACAAATTTATGACAACATTATTGTTGTTCAGGAAGTTATTCATACCATGCGTAATCTGAAGAAGGAGAGGAAAAGCTATATGGCTATTAAAATTGATATGAAAAAAAGCTTATGATAGAGTTAATTGGAATTTCTTGAAATGTTTCCTTCTGGAGATGCAATTGTCGGACTAAATGATTAATCTTATATGGAATTGTGTGTCTACCTCATTTATGTAACTCCTTTGGAATGGGGGAAAATTGAATGCTTTTCAACCTTCATGTGGGGTTTATCAAGGAGATCCCATTTCTCCTTACCTCTTTGTAATATGCATGGAGAAGCTTGCTCATCTAATTTAACAAAAAATAAAGAAAAAAGGGGGGGAAGCTAGTTACAGTTGTAAAGATAGTCCCTTTATTTCTTATTTAGTTTTCACTGATGATATTATTCTCTTTGCAAAAGCTTTTTTGTAACAAGTTGATGTCATTAATGATTGTCTCCAACAATTTTGTGATAGCTCAAGACTTAAGGTTAATACAATAAAGACCAAGGTGTTCTTTTCCCTTAATGTCAATTATACTAGAAGTTAAGAGTTGAGTAATGCTTTTGGATTTTCTCGCATGATGGATCTTGGAAAGTACCTAAGGGTTCTTGTTTTTCATAAATGTGTTGATAAGGAGACATACAGAGAAGTCATTAGTAAGGTGAAGAAAAGCTTTCTAATTGGAAGGAAAATTTACTAGCTTTTGCTGGGCGAACTACTTTAATTAAGTTTGTTACATCTAGTATTCCCAATTATACCACGCAAATGGCAACTCTTCCTATGGCTACTTGTAACGAATTGGATAGAAATAATAGGAATTTCTTATGGGGTTCTATAATAGAAAAAAAGGAGGTGCATCTTGTCACTTGGGACAAGGTTTGCAAACTTAGAATTAGACATGCTCATCAACAGAATTTAGCTTTTCATATGAAGTTAGGGTGGGGACTTATTAAACATCGAGATACCCTTTAGCTTTAGGTGGTTCGCAATAAATATAAATGTGGCTTGGATTTTCTTCCTAAGATTGACAAGAAGAGATTAGGTTCTAATGTTTGGGCTGGGATCAAGTCTTCTTGGAGGAGGTGAAAGCAGGGACTTTGTTAAGTATAGAGATGGCAGGGATATCTCATGAAGTAGAGTAGAGATGGTCATTCTTAATCAAAACTGCTTACAATTCTCTGGCTTATCACATTAACGTCCACGATACCATATGGAGGAAGATATAGAAGTTACAGGTTCTAGAACAATATAAGTCTTTTTTTGTGGCTTTCTTACCATAACAAACTACTTACGAATACAGGTCGAAAGAGGTGAGGAATGCATGATGATGATCAATGTGAGGTTTTCAAGGATGCCATCGAGGATACTCTTCATGTTCTCCGTAATTGTCCTATAACTAGAAGCTTCTAAAAGGAGATTCTTAAGGATGATCATAAAAGTTCATTTTTTGAGGCAAACGTAAATGAATGGCTTAAATGGAACGTACAATCTTCTTAGAGGAAATATAGTGTTCCTTGGGTACATATTTCTTCATTGCTTGTTGGATTATTTGGAGAAGGCGTAGTAAGAAAGTTTTTCAAGATAAAACTACTACAAATGCTACTATTCAACACATAGACTTTGCTATCATCATACCTGTAAAGATGATCGTAGTAAATTAAATGGTAACTGTTTGGAGGCAACATGACGTCCCCATCCATAGTGATAAGTGGACTATACTGAATGAAGACTAGTTTAAGTTAAATGCAGATGGTGATTTTACTATGCATCATAACATTATGGATTATAGGGGGTGTTTTCGAAACTCTAGTGGTGAATTTAAAGTTGGTTTCATGCTTAACATGAAGGTTGGCGACCCAAATTGCCAAACTTTAGGCATGCTTGTGGGGCCTTAAGTTCACTTAGGACCTTGGCTACTGTCAGGTAATTCTTGAATCTAATTGGTTTGAAGTAATAGAATACATCAAGGTAAAGGGCCATCTCAACATCTAAATAATGGTGTCATCTTTAAAATTCTAGCACTGTTGGCTCGAGTTAGAGAGTAGACATCTATGATATCTCACGTGATGCTAATGAAGTTGCAAACATGCTTGTTAAATAAGCTTTATCTTGTGTAACTAGTTTTCACCTTGTGTTTGCTCCTTTTTTGGAACTAGTTAGATTGCTATAGCAGGACATCCTTATTGCTTAATGTCATCCCTTGCTATCCTAAAAAAAAAGAAACAAAGGCCACTTCTAATTAATAAATAAATATTTCACTTAAAGAACCTTGTTGGGAAATCAGCATCATAGGACCACTCTTTGCCAGCTTTACAAATCTTGTTCAAGTAGTTCTAGTCAAAGCGTGTTATTAAGATGCCAAACTCATGCATTCAATTAGAGGACCCACTTCCCACCTATGCGGAATAAATGGGAAGAATGCCCATAAACCTCACTAGAATATTTACTTATATCCAATTATAAGAAATTAAATTAGTCATTAAATTGATTGAGGTATTGGTTCATAGTTCGATAGTTAAACTGTAATTTGAATTATGATTCAACCGGTTTTAAATAAATTGATATATTTTAAAACACATGCTTAAAATAAAAAGAAATAATTATATATAATAATAAAAATGAACATTTGAATTTCAATCAAAATATATAAAAAATTAATATCTATCAATATTTTATCATTTTAATCCAAAATTAAATACTTATGTTATAATTTTAAAATATATACATATTTCTTGCATATTTATTCATTTTCATTTAACAATGCTTATTACGTATAATTGTATAAATGTATGTAAATTGTAGTTTATAAACATGAATTAAAATTTTAAAAAATAAAAAAGGTAATAGGATTGGTTCAACTAATTACCTAACAAGACTTATGATCAATTCCTGATCCAACTAGTTAAACTAATCAGTTTGGTCCAACTATCAAAACCATTTCAATAACTCTAATATTGACACTTCTCTTCAATAACTTTGATGTTTATGCTTCTTCACATTTTGGCATTGATTTGAATTTAATTAATGACTTAAATTTACTAATTCAATAAGTGTCTCGACTATAGTTATTGAATTTCATCAATATATAAAAAAGATTAAAAATACATTTCTCTTAGTGAATTCAAAACAGTCCTTATGATTAGAACATTTTTTATGTATATTATTTCCTCATAAGAAATGGAAATTTGGTACCACCTCTAGAGTGTTTATGACAAAATTTTTAATACTTATTTGATTAAATTAAATAATTATTATCGTGTCATACATGATATTTATTGAATAAGTGAATTTAAGGCACTTATTGAATGACACACTGCACAGTATTCATGAAATAAAATGCATTTCCCCCGGGAGCCCCTTAGGAGATAAAAAAGAAACAAAACAAACAATAGTGAAAATCTGTGTATCCCATGAAATTGCTCATAAGATCTATGCCCACATGCTTCAAGAAAAATTGGGCCTTTGCCTTCACTGGACGAGCTTCTCGATTTGAACATCAACTTCAGATTATTAGTCCTTGATGGTGAGTGATTAATTTTAATTGACGCGATCCCACGCTTCACTCCCTGTGCAAGTAATCTCTCAAGTGCCGTAAAGCCACATTGGCAGCACAGGAACTGGAATACGAAAGTTCGAGGATTATGTAATCATTTAGAAGTACAAGGAGTTGTATTAAAAAAATAAAAAAATTAATTATTTAATACTTGTAGTTTACACTTAATTAACTCAGTTTCTGAAAATTGATTTGTTATAACTTAATGCTCATAATTTTAGCTTGTTTGTTATTTAATTCTTAAGCTTTGACTTTCACAATTCAATTTTTTATAATCTCAACCATTTAAAATATTAATCCTTATACTATAAAAAATAAAATAAAATAATTACTCTTTATAAAGATTAAAAGGGTTTAACATAATTTTAATTTTAATATTTATAATTTTATTTTTTATAATATAAGGATCAATATTTTAAATAATTAAAACTATATGAACTGAATTGCAAGAATTAAAATTTAAGAATTGAATTATATCAAATTAAAATTATAAGAACTAAGTTATAATGAATTAAAGTTTAAAAATTAAGTTATAATAAGTTAAAACTATAAAAATTACATGATTAATTAAAAAAAAGAGTATAAGGAGTAGGGATGAACTTAAAAACTTCTTAGTGCACGTTTTGATTGCATTAAAAATCAATCAATCAATTTTAAAGGCTAACATACTGTGAAAATATATTTAAACATTGTGATCCAAAATTTATGAGATAACTATTATTTTAAGTTTGTAATTAATTTTAACATAAAAGAGAATATTTGAGTATTTCATTCATGGTTTGAAGTTTATAATTCACTTTAACATGTAATATAGATATTAAGATATTTTAAAGAAAATTCAAAATTAATTTCGTCAATCAATCTTATAATTATAATTTAATTATAGCACCCAACATAATCAATTGCATCCAAAATTACACATATAAATCAATTTATCCCTAATCATTTTTATCCCATCTTAATCCAAAACCCACCCTCAGTTAATTTACAAGACCAGCTTAAAAATTGAGAAAAACTTTTAGAGACTTGTTTTGGCTGAGAAAAACTTCCACATTTTGCCGGAGATCAATTTGGCTCACTGTTCAGTACAAAATTTTCCAAGAAATAACTTTCAACTCTCTCAAGTGCCAAGCAGAGGACAAGGGTGGTCGGATTCGCGTTCGCAAAGTCAGGTTGGGTCCAGAGATGAAGAAGCTCGCAAGAAATTGGCACAATTTTCAACACAACAAACTCTCTCTCCCTACTCGCGACGATCCAACTTTTGACGACTCTCTTCCCATGGATACAAAAGGTCTCCCTCAAGTCTATTTTTTCTCCTATGCAATTTAACTTCCATGATTTATTTTGGGGGTTGGGCGCAATCTTCCTTGGACAAATGATTGAAAAGATCATGTTATAATTAGTTATCTTCTCATTGGATATGTATCGTGATTGGGGCTCGATGATTTTGGAAACTTTCCGAGCGATTTCACTCACTGCTCTTCAAAGATTAAAGAAGGTCTTTTTCCCCCTGACTTGACGGGAAAATTTTCTTTCTTATAAATATCTGTGTTGCATGATTAAGCTTGGCCATTAAATTCTGCTATTTTATCTATGATCATGTTAATTACAGAACAAGAAGAGTTGGTTCGGTCTCTTGAAAGGAGTCAAGCTCGGCAGAGTCGCCTATGGAGGGTATGGTTTACTTCCTTATGTATTATACTGTCTTCTGTTCATTCCTGTCTTTGAAAACCTGATATAACTTGATTGAAGTTTGAATTTAAGCTCACCTGAGAGATTTCATTTTCATGTAGACCGGTGTTTGCGGCTCTTCTCTGCTGTTACATCCTCTTTCTCTTGTACTCCATCTTTCAGCAGGCTTCATCACCATGGGAACTGGTATGTCTCTTCTATGCCCATTGGGACATATGAAGCTCAGAATTCAGGCTTTTCTGCAATTTCTCATGGTACTGTCAGAGCTTGAATCTTTTGTGTTGTTGTATTCTGATACGCAGGGACGGATCCAGAGCTTAATGGTTGGGGGGGCCAAATTGAAAATAAAATGAAGAGGGGGGGGGGAATTTAATCTAGACTATTTTGCAAATAAGAAAGGTAATATTTACCAAAGGCTTTATGATGCATTGGGGGGGGGGGGGTCCCTTAGCCCCTTGTAGATCCGTCTAGTTCGGGACAAAACTCAGAATACAAATAAGAAATAAAATGAATTAGAGAAATGTAGAGATGAAGATCTAATAAGGGACGAAAGTATAGATAACCGAAATGACAAAGAAATATAAGGAGCAAGAAAAAGGCTAACTAGAACACCTGTTTCTGGAAACTTTAGGTATTGTTTGGTTGGGGAAGGAGGGGAAGGGGCCCCTTTCCCCTCCCATTGTCCCATCCAAACAAGGGGAGGGGAGCCCCTCCCCTCCCCTCCCATCCCGTTATTTGGTTAGGTGGAGGGGAAGGGAAATTTTTTAAAATTTCCTCTCCCCTCCCCTCCAAAACCTCCCCGCCAAATTGGGGGGGAGCCCCCCTCCTCTCCCCTCCCCTCCCTCCCCTCCTCTCCCCTCCCCTCCCTCCTCTTGAACCAAACAGAGCCTTAGCCGTTGAGACACTACAAGAGTTGATTAGACTTGATTACATTAATATTCACCCTTGGATTCCCACAAGCAAGCATAGCTCGTACAAAAAGTTTTACTAAACTCAAGAAAAAATTTTCATCCACAAAATTGTTGGAAGAGAACATAAGGTGACCTATTCATAGGTAAGAGAATAGAAGACTCTAGAAATCCTTACCCTAGATGACTCCCTACAAAAGTGGCGACTCTTCTTTATTAGATATCTTATATTAAGTATGTTTAAGGATAATATACTTAACTAAAATAGCTTAAGCTGATTGGTTAGATATTTTCAAAGTTTATATATTTATGATTTATCTTCTAATATTTAAATGAAAGACTTCTTTTATATTATAATATTCCTTTTACTATTTTTTTTTCTCTCTCTTTTTTTTTACATTTTCTTCTTTTTCTTGCCTGAGCATGTACTTTTTTTGAGTCCTAGAGATTTCAGGTCTACTCAATTTCTTTTTCTTCTTCTTGTCCTTCTCTCTTTCTTTTTTTCGTTTTTTTAATCTTGTCTTTTTCCATCTCTCATTCTTTCATTTCCTCTCTCTCTCTCTCTCTCATCCCCGATCAAATAGTTTATGATGCCATATTAAATTTTCTTTTTGTTAAGTATGCTTAAATATAGTATACTCAACCAAAATAGCTTAAGTCATTTGGTCGGATACTTCCTAACTTATGATTTATCTTTTAATTTTTTTTAGATGTGGGACTTCTTTTATGTTTTAATACTCTTGACAAATTAGGAAAATTCCCTAATTCTTGATGATTTAGCAACAAAGACTAGATGGAAGAATTAAAAAACTTTCCTAATAATTAAATTCTTAATTCCTAAGTTAAATCAACTAATGAAAGCCACAATAATGAAAAGGAATAAGCGTTAAAGCTGAAATGAAAATGAAAAATAATTCAGTATTGAAATTCAAACTTAAGTTAAAGTAGGAAATAATTCAAATTCACAAGCATATTTAACACATGGTGAATTAAATAGGCATGAGTCTTCGCTAATTAGGCCTGCATCTTCATGGATTTAGATCTTTAAGATGTTAAGCAAGTTTGGACCTTTTTTATTGAGCTTGTTGGATGTACGAAACTCATTAAAGAACATGGGCTTAAGCTCTTAGACTTGTTTAATGAGACAAGTTAGGGCCTTTTTCATAGCTTTGGTCCAGGCTCTAGTTGGCCTCCTATGCTTTGCGATAGATCCTTAAGCATATTAGACTTGAACTCTTGAACTCTCTTTAGGCTTGGCACATCTCCTAACCCCTCCTGGGCCTTAAACACGTCATCTTTCTCCTCATGTGGGCCATGCTGTATGTATGGTCCATCATATTCAGTCTTTTTCATCTGTTAAATTATAACCTATTTAAATTGCTTCTGTATTTTGATTAAAACAACTGGGCAGCATTTCTACCTTCCTTTGCGGCTAGAAGACAAATGCTTATGTAAACACTCTGACCAATGTGAACAACTTTTGTTGCTTTTTCTCATTCTTCTAACTTCTTAGGATCAAAGTTTTTTTCTGGCTATTTATAGGATCCCATGAAATTGATACGCGAACTATTTGTTGGACTATCATTCAACAGTCGCCTTTCATGAATATTGAATATGTCATTATCATTCGTTGTACTTTGATGAACAGAAATACCATGCTTACTTCATGGAAGAGGTTTACCCTTGGATGATTATATCAGCAGGTTCATTTCTCCTTGTATCTAGCATTATTCATGAAATTTTTAAGTGATTCATTTATTTTGAGCAGCACAATGGTCAAATCTTTTGGTATTCTCAATGTAACGATATATGCATAATCCCTGCGTATTCAATTTCTGTGTCTTTCCCTCCTTATCCATTTGCACCAATTTGTAACTGAGAGTGGGATGTGATGTGCCATTCTCTTAACGAGGCTTAGGCTTTACATATCTGAATTTTACTGATCCTAAAACTTTTACAGATTGGTTTGCTGTTCTAGCCTGCACATTTGCAATCAAGGGGATGCTCCATGAGTCATTGAATCACAGACAATGGATCTGGTACTCGTGGTTTACTGGCCTTGTTCTGGCAATTTTCTGGTTATACTTCATGTTCAGGTAGCTTCTCAGATAAACATTGTGCACTGCATGTTCACTTCCTTTTTAAGGTTTGCATGATTTCAATATTAATATTTGATTATTTTTGGTAGATTGCCAAAGTTCCGGTGGGATGTAATCTGGCTGCCGTTTGGTCCTCTTGGGTATATGTCGTGACACTAACTGCATTATGTGTTTTATATCATTATATGAACTGGCTAAGCACATGTATAAATTGCTTCGACTCTACTGCAGTGGAGCGGCAATCTGTCTCTATGTGGATCATTTACTAACTGAATCATCGGAAGAGGTGAAAAGGCTCTGGAGATACATTTATGTCTACAAAGCAAGCTAGAATTCCTATTCTGTCTACTTGATGAAAAGTATGGGATATGAGAAACAGTTTGGAATTTAAAGAACATTATGAAGGTCTTCCAAAGGATCATATGGAGTATGGACTGAGCCTCCTGGTGATGTCAGCCGTTAGATGGAGCTAACATAAGTTCTTGCATTGATTTTCTGACGACTCCATTTTTGTTTTCTACTTCCTCGGTAGTGCCAAAGAATCATTGAATGCAGATAGGAACTGTCACATGGTCAAGGACCAATTTATTGGGTCACCATTTGCTTCCCCTTTCCAGGTAAATGTGGAATTTGGAAAAGGCCAAGAGAGCATTGTTTCGGTGAGGTAGCACCAATTCGGATTGTTTTGGTGACGTGGCAACAATTCGGATACTGTATCTGAAACTGTTTTATTTTATGTATCCGAACTACTCTATCTATGTCTTGATCTTTCAGTTGCGTGGCTGGTGTCCTGATGCATTTATCATTATAGTTATAGCTGTCCCCAGTCTCCATGAAATTATTTTCATGAAACAATTAGCAATGCTTGAATGTATGTGCCCTCAGACTACAAAATGAGAATCTATTGAAACTAATTTGTTGACATGCTATATGAAATGCCGTGCAATGCACGGTGCCCACCCTATAGTTGGGTGAAATTGAGAGAACCTGCTGAGCGGCTGAGCAGATGAACCGTAGAATTGCTCTTGCTGGTCTGATTTAGGAGGCCTGTGTTTTCCTTCTCTTGGAATATTAATTAAAGAGATGAAGCAGACAGGTATATTTATTATTTAAGCTAGCTAACTACTGGTATAATAGATTTTGGAAAATCAAATTGTCGGGCAAATCTGAAAAAGAAAAGCGTGTAAGAGAAGCCCTAGCAGTTAGCACGGCAAATGAACATTTCATTTTAAATTCAGAAACGTATCTCCCCCATTTACCACTCATTTTTGTTGAGTAATGTTATGGGCTTGATTTACGCAGAATTTTTCTCCTTATAACTGGGCTTGGCCAACCTTAGTGAGTCTGTATTGAGTCTTTGAACTCGGGGTGATCGCCTCGCTCCATTATCTCATATATTTCCTTTGTTACTCAAAGAATCTCGATAAATAAAAGCCTGAACAAGCAAACTTGGGTCATTTAATATCAGGGAATATTCACTGACACTTCCCGACATCTTGATTATCCTCAATAAGAAAGTACAAAAAATTACAATGAAAATGCCCTTTTTTAAACTGTAATGAATTGACTTTTATTGCTTGAAAAGCTATCTATATGCATTTTTTCGTAAGAGGGTTCTCTTTGATAAGAGGATGGGCCACTGTAGGAGAGGTTGTCTGATTAAATTTATTTAATGATTGAAATTTGATAACTTCTAAAAATATAAATCAATCTATACTATTAAAGTTCATACGACTTTGTAAAGAGAAACCAAGGTTCATACTACGTTGAAAATAACTTTTTTCCTATGATAAACGCAACTTACTAGGGAGATGGTCATTTTCATTGTCAGCTAGATAAACTAGGGGAATTTCAAGTTTCAACGATCAAGATCAAGATAGAAGGGTTTTTATTTCATTTGGCTAACAAAGATAGCTGAAAGGAAGATAGATTTTTGGCCAACAGTTTACTACTAAACAGAGGATTTGACACTTTCTTATCCAATAACAAGGTTTGATCTTTTTTACACAAAGCATTAATCGTTAGCCCCACCCCAAGCTTCGATAAATTTCCTAACAATAGCCTCATTGACAAGTTTAATTTTCAAAAGCGGTGCTCGAACAAGCACCTCTTTGACATGTTTAATTTCCTGAAAGTTTGCCTTTGTGTTTTGCTTTTAGGCTTGCAATTCCTCTGGTACTGTTTCAGTATTCGATAATGTTTTTCATTCCCAAAATATAAAAACAAAAATAACGTGTACAATGCTTGCGAATACCAAATGGCAAATAGCCTTAAATTTTATCCATCTATCTTCCCCGTATATATTTTGACTCGAGCTTGCATTTATTTTTGCGACCGGAAAGAGAACAAGCTAATCAAATAGCGCACTAGAGTTCATTTTCAAACTCTGGAGTAATCATTAAACATCTCACGAAAACACCTGACAAGTAATGGGCAATCTAAAATAGGAAGACCAAATGAGATGTTCCAACGAAAAAGAGAATGGAAAAACCGCATTAACTATAACCAACAAATAATTACCTTATCAATAAATAAACGTCCAATGTCCAAAAACTACGATTTGTTTTAATACTCGAACAAAAAGCTTGATAAATCAATCCTCATCTTCAATCACCTTGGTGCCCAACCCTTTGAGCTCTTCTCGGGTGGTATCAACTACAGTAACCAGGGAATAAAGCTCTTCCTTTGCATCCTCATCATCATTCCTCTTGCGAGCAACACGTACCCTAATCCTTCTTGGGACACTCCGGATTCCCTGGCTCCAGACGTACTTGTTCAGCTTTACATCCACTCTCACATCATTGGTCCCCATAGCTTTTTGGGCAAACTTCCTTATCTCCTTGATTGCTTTAGGAGCTTTCTTCTTAAATGTGCTGTTTAGAGTTTACAATAACAGAACACACGATGAGTAAGAATTTTTCAGATGCACAGTTATTACTGGCAATCTCAAGTGGTTTCTCAATGCACATGCCATTTTATACCAAAACTTCCAAATTGCATAAAATTGCCGACATTTTGGTTAAATTATCCGCTCTCGATACATGTGAGTGACAAACAGACGCACTTCGCTCATTGATTGACAAACCCAGACCTCAAAGCGCAATTTTATTTAGCCTCCAAAATAGCTTTCAATTAGTTAAACAAACTGTTTCCTTTTGCACAATCGCCACATTCAAGTAAACTTTAAAGCCAAACATAGCCCCCAACGTAAAAAACTAATCTTCAAGAAAACAGGGCATTCAATGAGCATTAGAAGGCAAACCAGGCACAAAGGGACTGAACAGAAAATTAAAATCAAATAATTTTGCAGGATAAATCAACATTCTGCTTCAATGTTGATTTAAGCTAATATTTGCTGATATTTCGCTCATTGTTATGAGAAGCAGATGAGTTCCTAATTCTTATATTAAAATTCCTTTGCAGCTTCGTTTGAACTAGAATAATTTAACCAAAGACACAATGATATAATCTTGAGAATGCCAAAAATGAAGAGTATGAAATAGGAACTCTTGCTATCTGGATATAAATATGCCAAATAACCCCGCTTCACCTGCAGTCCCCAACAGTTATTGACACACGGTGATCAGTATATGGCCGGATGTCATAACTGCTGATACCACGCAACAACCTCACAACAAGAAACCGAAACCGCTGGAAACATAAAATACAAGAGAGCCGCAAAAGCCAATTAAAAAGAGGGGAAGACGTGTTGGAAATATTACCAGCCATGCAAGCGCTTGTGGAGGTTGATGGTGTACTCTCGGGTAACCACCTCCTCCTTCCTGCCCTTCGTCTTCTCCACCATTGCTCTCACCCTTCACAAGGACCTATTACCTATGAAGTTCATCCACAAGTTACAACTATATCCACCCAAGAAACAAACTTATGAGAGGAAGGGGAATTCGTCAAATCAGATTAAACTTCTATGAGCTTTATCTGTCTTAACCAAGATTCAAATACGTAAACCTGAATAAAAAAAATGTATAGATCCGAAACAACAATATCACATGTTTCTAGAAATATCAACAGCGAAAAGAACACAAAAGTTACAGAACAGAGGGAGGAAAACCTCAGGAAGGGTTTCGACCTTCTACACTCAAGCACGATCTACCAAGGAGGACGCAGAGGAGGGAGAGAAGCATTCAAATAGAACGCATAAACCCTAATGGCCCGCCAGCAAAGCCAGTCACGTTTCTCTGGGCCGGTGGATGAATATATGGGCCTTTTAGCCCCTCAGTAATCCATTGAATGATGAACTGTCATGGATGATGCAAAAAGTAAATCAATTAACTAGACCACGGAAAAAAAAACTTTCTTCTTTTGGAGCCCAATAATATTAAATATGAATTAAGTTTATACAATATTTTTTTATATAAGCAAAAATTTATGTGAGTTGGTTTTCGAAATAACTAGAATCAAAATATGTCTCCAAACTTAAAAGATGTTTATAGAAGTATTTATAAATTGATCATCAATAAAATTATCATATTAACAATGAAAGTTGATCACATGATGTTATGCATTAAAAGTCAAATCCTTGCCAATTAAATCAATCTTAATTAATTAGTTAGTATATACAATATCTTTTCCTCTATTCATAAAAAAATATCATATCCTCTTGGAAGTTCCAAGTGTTTGAATTAATCCTGAAAGTAATTTTTAATAATATTTTTCTCATAGTTGATATAAAATTTTGGACATTAAAAGTATAATCTAGCTGTGTCTTCAATTATTTTTCCCCTACACTATACATCTAAATTTTATTTCTAAACTAATTTTCATGTGGATTGAACCCCATTTATTTTCAACTATTTTTAGATTAAATAAAATAGAACATATTATATTAGCTTTATTGTAAATTGTAAATTTAGCTCGACTACATTTCATGTTATTACAATAAAGAGAAGATTACATACAAGTCTCATGAAAATAACTTATTTAAAATTAGGCCCCATGAAATTCAAAAACTACAAGCAGGTATTTTTAAATGAGTATAATTTAAAGTTGAGATGAAAAAATAATATTACCTTTACCTATTAGGTTACAGTGACAAATATGCCTGTCTACCTAAATTAAATAGTAAGCTTGCTCTCTTTATCAGCCCACCACATGATCGTTCACTCTGCATTGCTCTATTGTGTACATTCTTCTCCTTCATCAATTCACATATTGCTTACCCTATTCATATTGCTCGCTCCCTTCTTAGAATTGTATGTTAAGGAAAAATCCATGATCTTTTATTATTATCATCACAATCAATTGTGATCAATGTTACTTCTCATTCTTATACTTGCTTTACCTGCCAGCTTTATTTGAACCAACCTATAAGATTTAATTATTCAATTCAAATTTTCATTATTTGAAGCAATTTTCATTACCCATTATTTAGAATTTTTATAAAAGTTTCTAGGTAGCATAGTGAAAAAGAGACACGACAGTTTGCAATAAAACTTGAATATCTGTAAATGAATTAAGAAATTCAAATGATTATAAAATATGAAATAAGATTTGTGAGTTAGAAAGTTCTACTCATAACTTGTGAATTTATAATTGTAAGTGGATGGTAAATATAATTTTAGTCTACCGACCATAAAACATAAAACATATAGGACTTGTGAATTAATAAGTTCTACTTGTAAATTATGAAGTTACAGTTGTAAATAAATGATAAATATAAGTTTAGTCTATCATTTATAAAACACAAAAAAAAGACTTGTGAATTGAGAAGTTCTGCTCATAAATTGTGAAGTTGTAGTTATAAGTGGATGGCAAATATAGTTTGAATCTACTATTTATAAAACATGAATAGAATTTGTGAATTAAAAAGTTCTATTCATAAATCATGAAGTTACAATTATAAGTGAATCATAAATATGCTTTTAGTCTACTGTGTATATTTAAAGGATAATAGTGTCTTTTCAACTCAATTTTAAATTATACTCAGATTTTAAGGGAAGGACTTGGCTATAGTGTTTAAATTTTGTGAGTCTTATTTTTAAGTAAGTTACTTCCATGAGATCATGAGACCTGTACATAATTTTTCCTATGATAAATAGAAGCACTTTGTGTTGGGAGTCTTATTTCCCATTCCTTCTACGATTCTACCATCAGTTTTATATTAGGATCTTGCTTCTTGTTTATATGGATAGGTTAAAATGGTGTTTTTCAAACCATACTGTGTGCCAATTAGTTTTTAGAAGTCATATATTAATTTATTTTAAGTTGATTTGAACAATGTTGCTGCCTGTTTGGTTTGCCCAAATAATCGATTATTTGGAAGCAAACCATGCTTAAAAAAAAAAAAAATTAGCCAAACATCACAATTTGTCATTAATCGATTATTTGGGAAGGAATCGTGTTTTTAATTAAGCTAGCCATGGGAGCTTTTCTGAATCAATTATTATATTAGAAGAACAATAAATTTGTCAAAAATGTTAAAACCAATATTACCCTCTCTCATATTCTTGTTTTAGGTCTCCCCTATCTTCCCATCTTGTGCCTTCTTGTGTTGTGTCTGTGCTTCCATTCTTAGATCTACCATTGAAGACCACTCCCTTCCATTACACAATACTATCTGAAGGAGTTGAAGACCACTCACAGATTCAAAACATAAAAAAGAAGAGACAAAGCTCTACCTCTCTTTTAAGTCTTCAGACACACGAAGCAGAAAAGAAGAGTGAAGGACTGCCAAGATAGAGGAGAATGGAGTGCCTGTGTTCTTGTCAAACAGTCATGAACTTGCCGGCAACGAGGTCCAGAGACATGGATCAGCGGTGAGCAATTAGAGGATGTCATGTCCGTGAAGAGATGGAAGGAAATTAGATAAACCGATACTCTATTTCATGCAAGGAGGATAAAAATAATGAAAAAAGAAAAATAGGAAAAACTACAAAAAATGACATAAGAAATAAGTACAATAAAGGCACAAATTTTTCATGTTATAACTTAAAAGACTAGGATATTTTTGATAATTTATATAGCTAAAATTAATTTTGACTAAATCATCAAAACATCTTTAACTCTGTTAAAACTAAGTTTAAAAAATAATATCTAAACAAATTACATTCTAATATAATTAATTATAATTAAAATTAATTATATTAATTAATTATATTCAAATGAAATTCAAACGGCCTATAAGTGTTATTTTTTTTTCAACGGCTATTTTATTCATTTATAAATTTTGAGCCAAAGACTGTATTTAAGGAGAACATGTGCCATACCATTAGAATCTCCTGCCATTAGTGTTTATGTATTTTCTACTGGCCCAAAATCTTCATTCCAGGATTTCTTATGTGAAAGTATTGTTTTTTTTTTTTTCTGTAAACTTTCACACATACACGTTAGCTTATTTATTTATTTATTTATTTTTTCAATAAGCTGCATTCATCCCAACACTAATATTTTACTTTATAATGAATATAAAATCATACTTCCGTATCGAAATTTAACATCAGATTCGTTGCATTTACTATCTAACAATAAATTCACAATCTATTTCTCGTCTAAAATATTGATTGCGTTGAGATGACGTAAATAGTACAACTCTTTGATGAGACGAAATATACACTACCCATAATTTAGTAAAAAAATTAAAAACACACGACTTGCATAAATTTGAAAAAAATAATTGAAGATGAAATCAAATACTACCCATCTCATATAAGACATTTTTATGAAATATTTAACATTCTAAAATATAAGACATTGGATAAAAATTTTATTAATGATTTTTTTTAATATTATCCTTCATATCATATTATCTCTCTTTAATATTCTTTTTACAAATTAAATATTAAATTAAAAGTATTTATGCAAATTTATACTTTCATTTTCAAAAAAAAAAAATTAACATTATAAAATATATTTAATAAATTATGTTGGTCTGCATGAGTTTGTTAAAAAATATTTTATAAATTATGAGAAATCAACTGTCAATAATAGTTGGGATGGATAATTGAGGAATTTTGACCTCATCAATATCATTGAAAGAACCCCACGCTTGAATGCAACCATATTATGGGAATGCGAGTATTCCCATTTCCCAGCAATCCAATGAGGGGAAGTTACTCGTGGTTAATTGCCCATGTCAGCTTCCTTTTATATGTTTAACCTAAGCATTGTGTATGGCTGACACAAATAATTTATTATCAACGTGAATCTAGTTCCGTGGGTCTAGTGCATATATTCTCCCCACTGCCCTTTCTTAGAATAAACAAATTAAGTAGAGCAAGTTGAGATGAATTACCTCAAGTTTTTATAACTCATAAAACAAATGACAATAGGTTTCTACAAAGATTATCACTCTAGTTAAGATTAGATGTTAGACTTGATCACAAACCAATATATTTGTATATAGCATGTAACCTAGATTTGAAAGCAAAGGCAAAACCAAGTCTTGGCAAATAAATCTTTAACCCCAGTTCGGTTGGGGGGAAGGAGAAATTTTAATGAAATTTTTTCTTGTTTGGCCAAAAGGAGGGCAATTTCCTCCCCTCCCCTTTGGGAGGATTGGGAGGGATTCCTTCCTCTCCCTCCGCCTCCTTTCTCTCCTCTTCATTAAAATCCCTCCCTTCCAACCAACCATAGTGTAAGCATTTCGAGATGAGGCAAACTAAGCATTTAGTCGAATATGTGTTCCAATACTAGAACAAACTTTTATATCTGCCATTCCCAATGTTATAGAAAGAAAAGAAGAAAAAGGCCGGCCAATCTACCAGAATTGATTTTCTGAACAACGATGACTATGCACATGGTTCACGATTACTTGGATGCCTCTCCCATTCACCTTAAAGAGGCGAAACAAGCACTGATTGGATCTACAATAGAATCGACTTCTACAATTTTACGTACGTTTGGTCAGGAATCGAAGAATCACCTTTAAGTTGTTTTCATTAGCTTCAAAAATTTGTTGCTCTGTTGCGTAAGGTCTACGATTTCAGGCTACTCCGAGAATATCTCCACAAACTGAGTGCCAAAACTACAAGGCCAGCAATTCCAGCTAAAATCTGCCACAAAATTAAGAACTTGGAGTCACGATGCAGCTAATTATAACAATTTATAAAATCGGGAATTCCACCACTACAAAACGCTAAATGAGGCCTACAGACAACTGACCTTCGCATCCCTGCTATAGCTAGTTTGAGTAGATCCGAATGCTGATTTCAGTAATTTCAATGGAGATGTTTTGGGCATTAGAATCACAACGGTGTACTGTTTTTTGCAAGGAAAAGGCAGTATTCTTTGTAGTGCCACCTGTGCCGTTGATGGTGTTAGAGATGCTCTAACTACGGACCGCCCTTCATCTTGAATCTGCAGCAGGGATGATTGCAAATTTAACTACTTTTCATTTCATACAAAATCGAGTAACAAAACCAACTATAACCTAAGTCGTCAGCATTATTTGCTACACCACAAAGTTAACCACAGAATCCTTAAGAAGTAGAAGCCAGCAACTGCAAATCTCCGTAAACTCATTAGTGAAGATTAACGTGAGGGAAAAAATGATGATCTGTTAACAGTTATTATCTCATTGCGACAGGAAAGGGGAGTACGATGCCTGACTATCCTCGAATATTGTAGATATTACATGAAACTAAACTCTTTTTGAAACCCATACAATGCCCATACAGACTTCTTTTGAATCTTACACAAGCCTCCATTTTTTTTTTGTTGGCAAACTCACCTTATTTAGGCGTGGTGTATTTGAGTTTTGAAAATTTAAAAAAAATTGAGTTAAATATGGAAAATTAAAAGCAGGTTGAAGCATTGTTTTTGGAAACATACATACTGAAATGAAACATCAAATCAATAGTTCTATCCTGGCCATAAAGCAACCGCTATGAAACTATAACCTTTTATGTAAAGGAAATCTATAACGCAAATAGGGCGGATGGCAGCTCCACGTATTTGGAAATCACAAACAACAAAACAGAGCAACAGCCACCAACCTCAAAAGACTTGCCAACATCACCAGAATAAACTCTTGACTGATAGCTACGCAAAATCCTGTCCAGCCAGTAGTAATTTTCCTGAAAAAGCATAAAAAAGAAACAGACATGAGGAGGGTAATTACATTTCAGCCTCTCCCACCCACAAATCTTAAAATAAGGAACTTTTGACTTTTATCATGGCTGAGATGGTGGGTGTAAGAAATCTATATGTCTGTTTGCATGTATTATTTTGTGTTGGCAGCCGAAAAATGTCCATTAAACTTATAACCAAAAGTTGAAGATGTAATTAACCTGCAGTCCATTCTCATGGGCTCTTTGCTCAATTTCAAGGATGGTTGAAACATCTTGATCAGAAGGTCCTTCTTCTTGGAGACGCAATATTTCATTCAAGGCAAGATCTACCTGTCAACAGTATGACAGAATATAGTAATCTTCACTGACTACAATGAAACTTCATTAATTCTATAGCTACAGAAGACTTGCCAGCTTTGAAGATATTCCTGGATCACAGGAGAAATTTATGCTAATGTCACCACGAACATCACATGTTCTTGAGGGTTTATTACCACCCAGGAATATTGAAACACCAACGGAGTAAATCTAGTAGACAAATTAAATTATAACGTTCAGCATTCCACATTAGACAACTGAAGGAATATGCTGTAACTGATAACACCATGTACCTGCCCAAGCTCGAAACGAAGAACTTGTGTCATTTTTGTTTCAAGAAGCTTGCTCAAGAACCCAACAAAGTGAATCTCTTCTACCTGACATATCATTCCCAAAATCCACAAAGGAGTAAAATTGGTGGTGCATATAATATAAATTATACAAAGCTCAGATAGTTGCACTAGATCAGCCAGAGAAAGTGAGTTAAAGAAAAAGACCAAACACCATGGTTCCATTCTTCAGCTCCACAGGAAAGCATAGCTGTACCAAACATTGGGCTTCTACCATGGGGCTCCGAACCTCTTGTCTACAAGCAGAAAGTATGTTTTGATCAGCAAAATGCATTACTTAATCTCTAGAATGCCATGAAAAGGTGATAGAGAAATGACAGTATTCAATCTCTTCCATTAGAAATACGAAAAAGAACACCTCTGTTTTCTATTGAATCCAGGAAAAAAAAATCACAAACCTGGTGAATTTACACCCTTTCTTGTATGCACAAAATTGCACTATGATTATTATGATGACACATGTTTGTGACTGAGATGCATATATGTACCTAGATACAGTTGTCGGAAAAGTAAAAGGCAATCCTTTCAGGTCGTCACGGTTAAAGTGCATGATAGGTTCAGAAGGCTTTGGAATTCCACCCTGCATGAAGCATCGATGAAACCAATTGATATCTAATCAATTCAATGTTATTAGGCTTTTGGTAGATGGATTCAACTCACTAGATATTGCAATATTAATGGCACCGCAATAGAAGGAACAATATTCCCAACAATCACAACCGTAAAAGTTGATGGGTCTTTGAAACAATTGCTGAAGTATTCACAGGCTTTAAGTGGATCAACCTTTTGCAGATCACTTTTTCTAATAGGCTGCAAAACAAAAAAAAATGACTCAGAAGTCAGGAATGGTCTAGTCAGTCTATAAATTTCAAAGGAATCACAAAATAGTTGCACGTACTCTGAAAAAATAAGAGTTCCCATAGTTTAGCTCCTTCACACGATTTGTAAAAGCAGTATATGGATCCCTATCTTGAGCACGGACTGCTTCCTCAGCCATCTGCATAACTATTTTGACATCTTCTTCCCCTGGTGTTAAATTTGTAGTAAACAACTGATAGACAAGCTGTCCAAATAAAGAAAACAATGAGAAAGCGCACAGAAAGATAAATTGCAATCTTTTGACAAATTGTATGGGTTAGCAGCAACCAAACAGGAGCAATATACTTATTGCAGAGCTGCAATCACAATATATATTTGAATAATCAAGAATCCACTGCATGTGTTATATACCAGTTAGCGAGCATACATCAGGATACTAAGAATATCTCAATGTTTAAAGTTCAAACTGATTTTACACTCTTTCTGTAACTATCACTAATTATTTACTCCCTCTGGTCCTAAATGTACGACACCTTCTAGTGGCAATTCCCAGTCCAACACATAGGACACCTTGTAATATTTAAACTTTTCTTTTTCCAATCTTACCTTTTCTTGATTCACGTGGGCTGAATTATGTGTTGTTTACGAGAAGGCATTTAAAGCCTGGCCATGAGTTGTATGTCATTATTTAATGTAAAGGGTAAAAATGGAAGTATATTTCATTTTTAATGATATTAAGAGAAAAAAATGAATTTTCTTAAGATGCATGAAACAGGTTAAAAATGTTCTACAATAAGGACCGAAGGGAGTGTGACCATACTATATCAAGCTTTCACTTGGTAATGAACAACTACGTTAACTCTTAGTTGTGATCAAACAAGTGAAATAAGTTTGCAATTTATTTAAATATACCTGCAAAGCAGTTTCAAGGTCTGAAGGTGAACAGTCACCAGAAAATGTTCTCATGTATGCTCCAACTTTTGTCCCAACTTCAGCTCTCTTGCCCGCAAGCATGTCCATTAGTACAGATGGTCTATAACCAAATACTCCAATTTCTCCAGCAATGGTTGGTCCCATTGAACAAGAGAAATACTCACTCTCTGGGAGTTCGGACAATCCCCCATATGAGAACCCTGTGAAGATAACCTGTTGAGACAAAGCTTAGATTGAGACAGACAAACACACTAATTCGTGCTCAGTGCCAAAATAATTATTATATTTGAATCAGCTCTAATATTGAAACACCAAAACAGTGAAACTGAGTGTTCACTGACACCTAATAATAATTGCATGAATGTGTTAGAATCAATATCCAGTTGTTAACAACACAGAATTCAAATCTGAACCCAGCTAGCAGCAAATGCAGCTGACCAAGAATATGAAAGTAGCTCCAATGTAACTTCCATAACTTTTCATGGCAAGAAGATTGTCTACCCCTATGCACAACATATAACAAATAGCCAAAGCACTAAAGTTGGGAGGAAAACCATATCTCTATCTTGAAATTGACACATTCCTGAAACAGCAAACTGTTATTCCAGAGCTTATCAAACTCATTATAGTGATATCAAATTCACATTCCAGTGCCTAATACTAATTAACTAGAAATTTCTTCCACAATGTGCAGATGTGAAAAGCCAATTCTTTGTTTTCTAGTCCACCAAGGTCAAACTAATTCAAAAAGTAGCCTCTAAATATTTGGAATCAGATCTGGCCACCTTAAGAATATAAATTTTGGATTTCCTCATTACCAGATGTAACAAAATCCTACACTTTGCTTGGACCATAATATAAGTCATTGTTAACTAATTTACATTTCTCAAAAGAAGTTGGTTAGAATCTTGATTTCTAAAAATTTCCACATCTTTCCAATCATGCCTTTTAGTGTAATAAATATAACATTTGGCTTATTCAAAACACACTCATTAATTACTCAATAAAATAAGGGTGTAATTGGAAAAAAAATGTACAACACCTACCCAGTACCTTATATTTTAGACCAGACAAAGCTTGTAGAAAATAACTTATATTATAGTCTAGAGGGAGTACTTCCAATAGTTGTGTCAATTGGCCATGTAGTTTGAAAGTTAAAGCAACAGCTTCAAGTTTTGTTCAGGGTTACAGCTTCATTATTTATTTTTGCTGATACTGTAACAAAAATTCCATCCTTGCTGGTGATAATTATGCATATTCAAAATCTAGATCTCCTGGCTACTCCTTATAAGAGCATTTAAATGACTTCCTCATGCTCACAAAGTCACTTCTACCTTCCAACATACATCCTCACTTCTCTATTCTCTATGTTCTTGAAATAGCCAAACTTAATTTTCCCAAGGGATCATGTCCTATAATTTGATGAAGTTCCACTCCTATTGTCACTAATGTAATCAAATTGAAACAACAAAGTTCCATAAGTTTTATTAGGAACACCTCAATACAATCTCCGTTTGAGAAACAAGTAAAGACTTCAACAAGTAATGCCTGTAAAAACTGGAACCTGGTCATCAAGAAAGTCTGTGCCCTTGTAGCAGACTCGCATGCCATTTGACAGAACTAGTTCAGTAGCTCCAATATTTGAATATTCAAATTGCTGTACAATACTCCTAATAAAAAGGGGAAATAAATCAATAACCAAAAAGTAGTGTAGTTAAGATCGTACATTTAAATCCAACGATAAAGAATACAGCAAGAATATAATAACGCTTGGAAATCTGAAACTATCAAACTTAACCTGAAGAAAATAGTATAGTTAAACCAGATCAATAACAATTCCCATAAGTGGTAAAATTTCAAAATCTAATAAAGAGGAAAACTTGATTGCATTACGTTTTAATGCTTCTCGAACAAGAACTATCTTCTGTGAGTCAATAAAAGTACAAGTAAAATCACATACGAAAACAAGACTAGACTGCATCACCATTACATGGATATATGAATACATAACTGCACTCAACTGATTTATGTTTTGGATTGGACATTGAAGAATCATCAACAAATTATGACATACAAAAAGAAAGAGGCTTCATCTCACCCCATATCTGGCTTTGTAGTAACAATTTCTTCTGGAATGTGTTCATCATCCCAAGGAGAGATTCGACCCTCTTCCTCAAGAAGATTGACTTTCTTCACAACATTTTTCAGATCATCAGCTACAGCAAATGCTTGGGGCTCAATGGTCTTTATGACACAACCACATGATGTCCTTAACTTCTCTGAATATTTAGAGACCTCTAATGCTGATATTTCTAATGATACAGAAAACTTGTATCAACTTAACCATAAAGCCAGTCAGAATATATTTTTCTAAAAATTTGATACCAGAAGATACAAGCACAAGACTAATGACTTGTTAACTCACGTGGTAGAAGAGTCTTTTGGAGTTGAGCCTCATAATCGATCCCAACAATAGGTTCATTGTGAAGAAAATGCTGCAAAAATGAAGAATTATTCCCTAATGTAATCACAGTTTTTTGGTCAATATCCATCATACAATCATATGAAATATAGAATAGCAATTTACCTGTAAATATTCATCTCTTAAGCTGGTTGATTGAATTTGATCTCGCTCCAAATAAGCAGATTCAATCTCTGACATAAGTAGTGCACGAACAATAGATATTTCACGCTCAGAAAAGCCATGAAGTCGTACCCTCACAAGCTGTTAGATAGTTGTTATAAATTGTTAAAATAAGCACAGAAAGAATGGAAATGGAGATATTAAACAAACTGCAGCTCAAATTTGGCTAGATTAAAATCACCTCTGTTAGCATTGACTCTAGGGCACCAACGGTTCCTTTTTCTTTACATGATGAAGTCATTATATAGGCCTTTAGTGGGCGAACTAAAACATCGGCAGCAGCTGAGCATGAGAAATAGGGTGGATCTTTTCTACGAGATATTTTAAAGAATCTCTGATTTAAAGCATACAGGAACATGGATTCTGCAAGTAAATTTCTGTAGTCTTTTACTGTTTTCAGCTCATCTGCTGGCAACTTATAGCTAATCATCACTGCAGACTGTCATTGGTCAAATCCAGAGTAATGTGTTATTCTTCCATGCAGAGTAGGTCAATAAAAGTTGCCCTGAAAACTTGAGAAAGAGATAATTCTTCATCATTTACTTACCCCAGCAGCTTCAGATTCAACAAAACAGGAATACCGTGGCTCCTCATGTGATGGAACTGGAAATTTTGGTATGCACGGAGGATCAGGCGCTGGAATTTTCTGACCAAAATGAGTCTTTATCAACTCAATTACATCCTGAGATAGAGAAAGGAGAGCATTCAGAAATCTTGACCTGAAAATGCTTCCAGGTCTCTGTGATGAACACAAAAAGATAAAGTACAATATAACCTGCGTATCAGAGAAATCTCCAACAGCTATCACCGCCATATTGCATAAATGGTACCATTTCTTGTAAAAGTGCTTCACCATTTCAGGAGAAACTGTCCGGATTACTTTCTCTAGCCCAATTGGTAGCCTTTCAGCATACTGCAACCCATTAAGCCTTCTATTCAATGACATGAAATTGATAGCAAGTCACACTGTTCATGGCTTGTAAACAACGTGACCTATAAATTTATTAGATATATAGATTTTTTACAATGATCACTTATCTAAAAAATCATTTCAGCACTAAAAAGCTTCCTTGGATATCATAAAAATGACAAAGGCTTGTCTTAAAATAGATGTTCCTACTAAAATTGAGAAGAAAAGGCTACCAATTCCAGCTAACAAATATGTCTAAAATAAAAGAAATTAAGTACCAGATCTTTAAGATCAAGAATCATATCAAAAAAGATTATTCCCAAGCAGCAATAACTAATAAATTATTGTTACATGTAAGAAATTGTGAAATTGCTTGTATCTGATACAATTACCTTTGAACCTTCCATCAACAAGCTCCAATGTGCATCCTGCAGCCTTCCTGCCGCATTCCTGTTGCCCCTGTATTCTTCCATCACTGCTCCTCTTTCTTTCTCTAAGTCATCTTTTGAAACTCGAATCTGAACAGAACAATGCAGTTATATACTCAATAGAGAACCAATTCCTTCCAGCAATGTTATAATTCTGCTTTGTCAATACCTCTGAACTGAATTCTGCCAAAACTGAAATGGCTTGAGATAATAGTTCAGGCTTGTCAACTGGAACAAACAGCTCATAAACTGTGTCATCAGAAGATGTTACAGCGTTTTGACAAGCACCAAACTCTGCCCCAATACTTTCAAGAAATTTAACGATGTCATGATTTGTATATCTCTTTGTAGCACTGAATGCAAGATGCTCAACAATGTGAGCAACACCACGTTCATCTTCTTCTTCCAGAACTGATCTGCCATGAATTTCTAAAGTTTATTCAATAATTCAAATGACTAAATAGTGCACCATGAAGATGATTAATTCACCAGAACAATTCAGATGTTAGAAGAATTCACAAGTTAGAGTTTATAAAAAAGCGGAATATAATATCAATTTCAATGTCCAAAGAATTCACGAGTAGCAGTGAGGTTTTAATAAGGGGCTGATTTTCAATTTTGAAAGTTCAAGTGGTACATACAGACGTATAAAAGTTGAATAAGTGTATATTCGTTTTGTCCAATTGCCGAAGTCTTTTGTGAGATGTATTTAAAAGCCTATTATTATTGATTATGACTTTTACAGTTAGAAGCCCTACCCTCTCACGGAAATATAGCCAACTCACTAGCAAGAATCATCAGTGAATGACATAAAATGGTAATCAGTTATATTTTCGTAATTTCATAGTTCGGAAGATTTTCAAACTCAAATATAATGGGAATTAAAGCAAATGCTTTCCGTCATGGCCAACGCGCGAATATAATTCATTTCGTTTATGTCAATATTATAAAACGCAAGAATCATAAGTGAATGATATAAAATGGCAATCAATTATATTTAAATAATTTCATAGTTTGGAGGAATTCACATATAAAGCAAATGCTTTCCGTCATGGCCAATGCGCGAATATAATTCATTTCCTTTATGTCAATATTATAAAGTCTTTACTCCATCATTCCTATTTCCATCCACATTCATCAAAACATTAAAAGAAATACTGTCCTATTCCCAACCAGAATACATCGGACCTCCAGGTTTTCCTGAAATTCAAAGATTTTTCGAGTTTACCATATAGCCATGTTATGGCGTTCAACACCAAAGCTTCTGTTGCCGCACATAAATATATTTAAAAATCCCCAAACAGCAAAATAATCCAGGATTTCTAGGGTGGATCAAATAGCATCCAAAAGAATTTTTAAATACAAGCACCGACTAGTTATTAGCATTGGATTAACGAAATAGATAGCGGAAAAAAGGAATTCACCCAGCTTTGACTGCAAGTGCCAGTGCAGCTCTCATTCGAGGCTTGGAATTGCATCGAACATAGTAGTGTAGTCCATTCTCAAGTCTGCCATAGTCCACGCCAACAGGTTGCTCGGCAAGAACCTGTTCCAGGTCCACATTCACCAGCTTCAGCGACCGAAATCCTTGCTTCTTAGAGATCGGCCTCGTCTCTGCCGGAAGCAAATCCATTCACCTCAGCCTGAAGAAACACCACTGTGGTCGTTAACCCCTCACGCTGCTTTTTGTTTCGGTGCGATCTTTCTTTTTCTCCGCCTTTTTTTTTTTTTTTCAGTTGAAACTTTGAGCAGCGTGTCATATCAGCCAGATGCATGATGTCTGAAACAATAGGGGCCGGAAAAAACAAAATCGGATTCTCTGGAAGCAACGGTAACAGACAACCCAAAACGTAAGGGGCTTGGGCTTCATTTTAGAAAAGCCCAATGGCCTAATATTTTAAGCTATAGTCCGAATACCGAAAATACCCCTATAGCTAAACCCTTGTTTACTGGCGGGCCGATCTTCGAACCGTCATCAGCACTGGACAGTGTGCTTGCCTAGGCGGAATACGCGAGAGGGAGAGAGAGGATTAGGGATGGGGAGGAGAATTCTGAATGATGCACTGAGAACTATGGTGAATGCAGAAAGGAGGGGGAAAGCTATTGTGGAGTTGAAGCCCATCTCCGCTGTCATATCCTCCTTTCTCAGGATCATGAAAGACCGAGGTAAAGTTTTAATGACATACCATGGGTTCGATTTAAGGGATTAGATTCTCTTTATAACCAAAAAAAAAAAACATAAATTATCTAGTTCAGCCGGTCTTTTTTATCTAAAAGAAAAAATGAAATCTTTTCCTATAAATTTCTTGTATTTTACCCTGCAATTAGCGAAGGAATGGAAATCTTCTTTCTCGTTCATTGCTTTGTGTGCTTGATGCCCAAAGTTGAATTCCTAAATATTTATTGGCGATTAAGGTAAGCTATGCTAACTGACTATATTTTTCTTTTCCGATTTAACGATAAAATATCGGGTTGTCTGTGATGTGCTACTAAGAATGTAGTTTTTCATCCTGTAATTCTCATTTCACGACAATTATTTCTTTTGGGCTTTGTCGTTTATAATTATAGTCAATCTGTAAAACCCTTTTGACCTCTGTGCGTTCTATTAGTTATATTAGTTGGTGTAATCCGACTGAATATGTACAACAAACTAAGTTAACTTACACCAACTAATATAACTAATGCGTTCAGAATTTTTGTGGGCTGTTGTCTTTCGTGCTTTTGTTTGATGTTAATGTTCAATTGCGGGGGTTTTCTATGGCTTTAGGAGTTTAGTCTTGGAGACGATGGAGCTGATAATATGTTGCCGCATTTTGAACTCTTTTTTTTTTTTTTTTTAAGATTAAAGACCATTGAGTTTCTAAATTCTAAGTTAGAAGTTTTAAGATTATAGCGTCTTCCATTCACCTTATGATTTTCAATATAAGACACGTGAAGTAATTTGTGATAGGCTATATCAAGGACTTCGAAGTCTTTGATCCGCAAAGAGTGGGGGGTATAACAGTTCAACTTCAAGGCAGGATTAAGGATTGCAGAGCCCTTACATACCGACAAGATATCAAGGCAGTGGACATTGAAAAATACAGATTGAAAACTCTTCCAACACATCAGGTTGGTTGGCGCTTCCAGCTTTATGTAACGTTTAGTGTTCTGAGTAGTTGTTTGTAATTGATGGGGGCTTCAATATGAAGAATGTAGTTTGTCTGAGATGCGATTTATTTTTCCTTATGATCTGAAAGAAAAGCAAAAGGATCATAAATGTTGTTTTGCCTTTCTCTGTGCAGTGGGGCTATGTTGTGATTACAACCCCTGAAGGCGTTTTGGATCATGAGGAGGCCATTAAGCGGAATGTAGGTGGTCAAGTTCTTGGTTACTTTCATTAGAATTAATCATTACGATGCTATTTTGGCCTGAGCTATAATTGGTATTGGCTGGATAATATTGAATGAAACGGGTGGTGAAATGTGTGTCCATCATCTTCCAATCTGGTTTTGTTGTCTATTATCCTGTTACTTTGTCCTGTATGAATTTTGTATCAGTTCATGCTTGATGAGGGGGATGTATATTAGAATCTTCTCATGCTTTCTTCTCCAGCGGATGGTTTTTTTCTCAATCGTGTTGGAATAACACTGAACAATTTCTTTGCAAGCTTTGATCATTATACTATACTGGGGAAGAAATTCTGCTTTTGTCAAGGATGAACTGGACAATAATGGAGCTTTACATCGTCTTAGCTGTCAACTTTAGTGTTGCATTTATGTAGTCCCAAGTTCAGGGATCATAACTAAAGCAGTCGTAGGGCATTATGGAAAGTGTAATTGGGTAATTTCTCTGTAAAGGCTCGTTATCAGAACTAGTTAAACATCGCTTGAATTGTGTTGATCATGTACTGTGTTGTACATTTGTGCAAAAAGATAAGCAATCCACACTGGAGAGAAACTCGAGCATCATAAAGTGGGTAAAGTTCTCTCATTATTGCGGTGTTCATTACCGGAGGGAATCCAAGCTTCGGAAGGAAACCCAGCAAAGTGCCTAATTGGCTTTAGAAAAACCCAATAGAACCACGAGGTGCTACAGAAATACGTAGTAGTCATGATTGCCTTCGCAAAGTTAATGATCTCTCCTTATTAAGGTTTTGGTAGTGGTCAAGAATGAGAGGTTAAACATAAATCCGTTAACAGTTTTCAAAGGGCAAGGCTTTTGATCATCTCGAAACAGTGATAACTATTTGCAGAAGACAGCAATTAATAATTTTGGACTTAATAAATTTGGACAGGTCCAAAGAGACTCCAAGGTTCTTGTAATGGCAAAAAGAAAAATTTGTCTTTTAAAACAGGGGGGGGGGATGCACTACTAATAACAGAAAAAATATGAATAAATTCTTTACAAAGTTATTATTAACTTATATAGAATGCCAAATAAGCTATTATATGTCTTTTTTAATATGACATGATAACTTTTACTAGTAAATAACAGAAAAAATATGAATAATTTTTTGATTAAAATGTATAAAATTTTCTTGAACTTTGAGTAGCACATGATCCCCTCTTTTTTAAATTGTTAAACTTAACTCCTCTATCTTTAGTTTTGTTTTTTGAATCCCCCTACCATTAATTAATCTTGTTATGTTATTAATAGAATTTGCCACATCAGATTAATGAAATATACATGGCACATAACATGAAAAAAATAATTTTTTTAAATTTTTTTAACACAATTTAAAGAGGGGACAAAAGTATAATTTTACTTTTAGCACACTTTCATTTTTCAATTGAGGGACTTTATTCTCATTATTCACGCAGTTAGCATAATTTAAAGAAAAAATATAATTATATTATTTTTTATAAAGTAAAACAGTCTTTTATATTAAACAAATGAAAATAAAAATATTTAAAAGCTATCATTGGTAAGAATTATATAATAAAAACGTATCCTTTAATATAAGAAAACTATGCATCATTAATAACAAAAAAAAACATGGATAAAACTAATGCAAAAATAAATATTTAAAAAATAATATAACTTTTATACTTTTACCATTTATTTACATAAAAAGCTATATAAACTTCTATGTGACTTATCTTAAAAATTCTAATATTAGTTTGTTAAATATGAATACTTTTTTTAACAAAAATTTGAATATTAATTTGTTTCATTATGAGGAATTAGTCTCTTATGTTGCACCAACGTAAGAGACCAATCCCTTGTTACAATATATATATATATATATATATATATATTTGTCCATGTCATTGTAACCAAGCACACCAACACTCTAGCAGTTTTCTCTAACTATACGGCTACCAACTGCACCCACACCTCTATGGTATAGGTGGTGATTGAGAAAATAGTTTTAAGGGGATCAATCCACACCTCTCTAACTAATGATTTATATCGTATGTTAGAAATGGAGACATGAAAATGAAAATAGAATTACAATTCACTTTTTTTTTTGGTATGGATGAAATGGTTTTCATGTGAAAATGAAATCTATCAAAATAGGTTAAATTGAATTCCATGATAAGACCCATGAAAATGAGATGGCTTTCATGGAAGTGAATTTTTTTGGACAAAAATAACTTCAATTACGAAATTATTTGACAAATTTGCCCTTTCATCAATCATTGAAGTAAATCAAAAAATTTTTAATAAATATGCATATATTAAATAAAAAATATATCATAATTAAAAAAAATTGGCAGGGGTATTTTAGTAAATTAATTATATAGATGCATATATTAAATAAAAAAGTATACCATAATTTTAAAAAATAGATAGGGATATTTTAGTAAATTAATTATATAAGTGCATATATTAAATAAAAATATATCATAATTAAAAAAATTGACAGGTGTATTTTAGTCAATTGATTATACAGATGCACATATTAAATAAAAAAGTATATCATGATTAAAAAAATTAGATAGGGGTATTTTAGTAAATTGATTATATAAATGCATATATTAATTAAAAAATATATCATAATTTAAAAAATAGATAGGAGTATTTTAGTAAATTGATTATATAAGTGCATATATTAAATAAAAATATATCATAATTAAAAAAATTAACAGGGGTATTTTAGTAAATTGATTATATAGATGCACATATTAAATAAAAAAGTATATCATAATTTAAAAAATAAGTAATGGTATTTTAGTAAATTGATTATATAAATGTATATATTAAATAAAAAGTATATCATAATTAAAAAAATCGACAGGGGCATTTTAATATATTGATTATATAAATGCATATATTAAATAAAAAGTATATCATAATTCCATGTACATACCAAACATACTTTTAAAACTCACTTTCACCTTCATTTTCATTTCCATATCCATTTTCATTTCTATCAAAAGCATTTTCAGGATACCAAACAAGGCATTAAGATTTTGTCAAAAGTAGGAGGGTTGAATTGGCTGAAGTTTCTCCTATTTATTGGGATGTCTATAAAAGGTAACTCAAGAGGCTGAGCACTGCTCTCTCCTAAATTAAACACCACGTGCGTTCCTCTATGTCCTCCCTGCCTAGAATGGGCTTGTGTCCTCCTATTATAATTTTCTCATTTCGAGATTAGAGTATCTTCTTGTGCTTATGCACTCTCTAATTGATATCTAAAGTTATGTTTTGCATTTATTGTAGGAGTGCGTCGTTATCTTGTGGTAGCAATGGTACCAGTATGCATCATGTATTAACCATTCTTTCTTTTTAAGGATGTAATCTAGCTTAGTTAAAGGAGAATATGATAAAATACTCAAAACCAAAGCAAAAGAAATTAAGGGAACGAGAGGGACATACCTGCTGCCACCAACATGTTATATGAATGCATCAAACAATTTAGAACCTCTAGAATCGATAGGCTCTCATACCATAAATAAACTGACCAAGTCACTACATTCAGATGATCCCCCACGTGAAAAAGGAATAAACTGCCATGGTAAAAAGAAAATACTTAATCCTATCATGGTTTAAAAATAAACTAACTAGAAGTCTTTCATGATATAAAAGCAAGCATACTCCTCTAACATAAGCCTTACTATGATAGAGAAGTTTTCAAGCAATCACATGGCACTATTATTGTAAAAAAAGATCAATCGAACAATTATTCCACACCTACTATAATAGAAAAAGAACGAACCCTTAGTGTATACCTACCCTAGTAGGAAAGGATTGAACATATAAAAAAACAAATAGTCATGCAAAAGATTCTTGTCATGCAAAATAGTAGGCAAAACCAACACCGATGTATCAAACAACCTATGTAAGTTTTACCTTCTCTAACATGCTATCAAGCAGCCTAAGTAGAGCTCCACTCTTCATCTAACATCCAACATATATCAATCCAACCAAGCAATAACATAAGAAAAGGAATAATAAATATAATGAATGAGTTATACAACTTACATCTCAGTAAAGTTCCCTAACTGCAAGGCTCATAAGCTAAAAATATCTCAATGAATGAACAAGCAATCTCAACTATAAGAAATGAAATCATTAGAATGGACTAAATGATGTAAAAGAATCCCTAGGATGGCAACATTAATGTCCTACCCTAAATGAACCCTACTTCTCATGAAGCTTGGTTCTCTAATGTTAGTTTTCTTTTTGCAGCTCTACTTGTGTTCCTTGAATGAGACAAGACATCTCAATAACCTCATTTAAGATTACAAAATATCCACAGTTGGTTGATAGACCCAATGCATTTTCACAATCAAAGCAACAACTTGTCCTGTAAGATATACTTTACCAAACACAATTAAAATCGTAATCCATAGAAATCAAGAAATTAACCTATAAAGAGATTACTAAGTTTGTAACTTGAAATAACAGGATTCCAAGTTTTTATAATCTAAAAATGAGTCAAACCCATTTATTAAATCTTTAATCAAAGTATACAAAGGCATGTGATACCTCAGAAGAGTGAAAAGAGTTAAAAACAATTGAAAAATCTCAAGTTACTAAAAATATAGTAGTGTGCTGCGGCTCATGCACCATACACCACAGCTTATTACTTTCTGTGCAACACGTCACGATGTGTTGCATGCTCATGCCAGTAATTTTATTGTCATTTGATAGCAAAATTCGAGCAACTTTTAGAGTACTCCATTCCTCCATCTAAACGAGATGATCTAAGTGTCTACAAAAAGTTCATAACATAATTTAGCTATTAACATGGATTTTACTTTCAAAACAAGTCACACTAAAAAGTTAGATACTCAAACACATTTTTCACCACTTTTCTCAACTTTCTCAACAAAAAAGTGTCTAAAACCCTAAACAAGTGTCAAAAAATATTTTTAACACCTAGACCATATTCATTGAATCTAAAATTACTTGTATAAAAAATCACGTACACATATACACCGTTATATCAAAATTTAACTCTCAGCTCCTTTTAATATTAAAAACTAAAGAGGGAGGTTTTAGTATTACATTTCAAAATAATATTTACCATTGTAATCAAATGAATATTTATATATTTGTACTAGTATTTTGACCCTATCAGCTTTTACAATTTTATTATAACAACGTCTCAGGGCCCAAAATACATTCCAAATAATTATATAATGCAAGTATAAACAAAATGCATCCTAATTGACAATATTCAATCTATTACACAAAATAAATAAATCAAGAGATATAAACTAGGAATACTTTGAATAAGCATGGCCTATTTGAATTACTAACT